TTATTTCTTCATGATACGGGGCGGCCGTGCCACAGCAACCGGCGAACAGGCCATGCGGCTAGGCTTCCAGGGCTCACACGATTCGAACACCACCACTGACCAAACGGGAAGGAAACGTCGATTCTCGAGACGCTGCAGCGGTTCGGGTCAAAAGGGGATGGAACCGTCGGGCGGCCCTCTAACGCGCCGAGCAAGGCGGACCTAGCGCTCGCTACATCAACATCAGCCGGTGCCCCGACCGCGGCGCCGCAGCCGGCCATGATGTCAAGACTCCGCCCAATCAACGGCGTACTGACACATTAGAGGCTGTGATACATAAGAGGTTATGAACATTGGGCTTTGTGATGTGGTAGAAATTACGTTAGGCGGTGCAGTTAGCTACCATGTTATGTTAGGTGATGCGGTTAGCTGCTATGTTATGTTAGGCAATGCGGTTAGCTGCTATGTTATGTTGGGCAATGCAGCGATCCAGCGCTTCACAAATCACCCCGGCGCGCGTGGCGCACCGAATCTGGAGCTTCCAACTAAGAACCTGGACAAGGGAGGGGACGAAGGGAGAACTCCCGCCACATGGCGGGAGCGCGTGCTTTGAAAATGAGTGTTGAAGGACTCAATTATGCCCAATTGGAGCAACATAAAGTGTCCTGCAAACATTCAGGGAGACGACTTGGACGGTGACAGGGGAGCATCGGGGAGCTGCGCAAAGGTGATTCTTCACGAGCGGTCAACAGGACGCCAGGCGGCAGCCACAATTAAGTGGGGGACTTTTGCCCCCCTGACCACCATAGGCCCCTCGCTTCCAGGTGCGGTCCTCCCCCTCATGCTCTCCCTTTTCGGAGCTCTGAGCTGCGGCAGCGCGGGGCACGGCCCAGACGGCGCGCCCTGTCCCGGCTATATGGTTCTCGGTGCGAGGCTGTGTGTTGAGACTGGCCGTCTCGTGATCGGATGTCATCCCTCGGTTTGTTACGCCTCTTCCTGCCCATCTGTTTATTTACTGTCCCCGCTTATCAGCCGTGAAGCGTCTCGATGTCGATCATCGCGCGGGCGCTCTGGTGTAAAGTTATCGATGCACACCGTGTGTCGGCCGTCATCGATGTCGTTTATGGCCTCGCCTTGCTGCTATTTTTAATTTGTGGTGGGATGTTGATTTTGCAATGACCCGACAGCACGCTGCAGAGCATGGTGTCGGGGGGCAGTGTATCCGTGAGATGAGAAGGCCACATTTAAGCGCCTCATTTCCAAGCTGGTTTTTAGAAACCATGCTGGGAAATGAATGCATCATAATTCATTACGTACTTAGCAATGAATGAGAGCATGCCTAGCCGTTGTTGATGTGACTCCATTTATCTAGTCCAGGCGCCCAATCCGATGAAGCTGTAAGTCGGCGTTTCTTTTCGTCATTACTCTTTGACCTTTTTTGGCATGGCCATTGAGCGATTTTTGTGTTCTTTTATTTTTATCATTTTACCTTTGACGACGCTCATGACGTCTCGTGACCCCTGGTGAAAACAGGCAATTTGCAAAAAACGCCAGGATGTGTCTGTCGGAGCGATATGAGTCCAGTTTCCCGTGTCAAGGCTTTGGCTTCTTCGACGCGCGTGACGCGCGTGATGCGGGGACGACGCTCAACGTCCAGCTTTCGTACTGGATATCGTCTTCTAGAGTAGCGTACGCGGCACAGGGTCAGTCGCGACCGTCGTCACCGCGTCACATAAAAGCCGGAAGCAAACTGTGGTAAGTCCGTTCTTTCCGCAAAACGAGGCGCATTACACTTTGAATGTCCCCTCAACGCCAGTGCTGAAACATGCTTGTTCACTGTTGCCAAGAAGCTGTCAAGTTTGCGCCACTCGGGACGCCGAGGATTTCGTTAAACAACTATTGCCGGCGAAACATCCCATGATCATATGGTACATGGACTAGGCTGTCGCTGTGGTACATATGCCACCGGAAGTGACCAATGTCTTCCGCTTAACCGGCATCGCTTTGATTTGTGATGATAACACCCTTTGCCGACAATGTCGCCGCGCGTTTGGAGGGCACTGAGTGGGGCCGCCGGGCTGGTCTACCGCACGGCCGACGCGGTAAGGCGACGGAACGGCGCGAGAGTTTACGGCTCAGGGAGGTCAAAGGATGGGCGACGGCCCGGCCCTCGACGGTGTCCTCGCGCCCGCCACTTGCGTCCGCCACGTGCGTGACGTCAATGCCGGGCGGAGCGTGTCCGGCCAAGCCAGTTGCCGGGCAAAAAAGGTCGAGGGAGGGGGCGGGGGCCTGGCAGAGGCCGGAAGGGGCGGGCTTTGCAAAGTGAGGCTGGGCAGGGGGCGGGGGTCGGCGAAGAAAGAAGCGTCGAGGCGGTCATGTAGGCCAGCTTAGTGGGAGGAGACGCTGTGACAGCCAGTATGACGACATGCTCGCCCCCTGCGCTGCGGCAGAGCCACGGGGGCGACGGTGGCAGGTCGAATGCCGTCTGTCAGCCGGCGAGGCACTCGCGGTCCACCGGCAGAGGGCAGGAGCGGGAAGGACGCGTCTCTCCCGACTGATTCGTAGACAGAACGCGGTACTCTTAACCTGACAATCCTGGTTCGAATCCCAGCAATTCCAAGGAGAAAGTCTATGCTGTGACGCGCATATGGGTGAATGTCGAGCAGTGTTTAACCCATTTAGGGACTCAATAACATCCGACAACAGTGCATACAAACACACCAGACGAGAACGAGAGTCCCAACAATTTTGACGTCCGTAATACTCATACCTCGTCAGACACGCTATGCAGAGCAATTGACTTAGTTGGTGCGGTAGACAGTTGGAACTGTTTAAGGCATAAAACGCACAGAGCAATGCGCGGAAAAGTCAGCATTTGCGGACGATCTAACCGAATTCCGTAAAATTTGACCACACAGATGTCAAACCAGGGAACCGTGATGGTTGTAACTACCACATCGCATGAGTCACCGGCATAAATATTTTCATCCCATGTGTACTCTTGTCGTCGTTCATTTAATTTGCAGCTGAGATTTATTGCTGGCAAATCAGACGCTCTGGAAATTATGGCGCCCTGAATATGTCCCAAATCCGGATCCCAGTAACTTCAAGTAAACGCTTATTGCTTCCCTCTCGCATAAAAGTAGTTAATCAGATACGCGTATTAGATGGCCCACTTTACCAGAATATCTGGGTATAAGTGGAATTTGTTTTCACATCTCCGTGCTTTACCAGTTCTATATAGTAATTTTAGTCTGCCGAACATGTTTAGTTTCTGAAATATTGAAACGCGGCTGTATTCTCAAGCAATATCACGTGATGTGTAAGGTTACTTTCCAGTCCACTGAAATAATCGAATTGGCAAAGGGGCCGGTAGGGGCGGGCTCGGTAAAGGAAGGTCGGAGGAGAGGCGGGGCGGGGGCTCAGCGAAGAAAGAAGCATGAAAACATATTCATGCTTATTCCTTCGCTGAGTCCCCCCCCCCCCCCCGTCCCTCCCCCGGCCTTCCTTCACCGAGCCCCCCAAACGTCTAAATCAGAACTGAGCATTCTCAACAAAGGAGACTTCATGTCTGTGGTGGACATGACAGCTTCTTGGTCCATAATCTAGGCCGCCGCATCCGAATCAAGCGGATGTTTGCATGCCTGATTGCCACAGAAAGGTCAGCTAGAATCCGCCAAGCAGGGACAGCCTAGCCCTGAGATGCCGTGTCGTAGTTTCCTGATCTGCATTATTCGCCGTACCGAAGTGCTGAGTTCTGGGCACATGCATCAAGGTCTGCTTAAACAGTGCTCAACCTAGTACGACCCATGCAAACTATTCGAAGTGATTTCAGCAACCAAACTGTTGAGGCTGAACATTCTCAACGGCGTTCGTGAGGTGCGAGGTGTGAGGTGTGAGGCGTGAGGTGAGGTGTGATGTGTGACGTAAGATGTAACTTGAACTGCGTCTCCAAACCATTCATCACATAGATCAGGGAAAATGTAAGCGTCAAAAGTGAAAAGTTATCAAACCTTTTCGATGCCAATAATTTTCAATGAACTTTGCTCAAATCATTGGAAAGGATCTTCGGCGAGAAAAAATGGCAGCGAGAAATTGCTGTGATTAAGTTGACGCCTGTGTATTTACTACGGTAATGGGAATGTGAATGACAATTAAAAAAGGAGGATGTTTTTAGGGGTCCATGATTTTGTCATCCGATCCTTTACGCATCGTTCCTCCATCATTAGACACATCATGTTGAAACAAACGTGTGGACGAAAATGCCTGCACGCCGACTGCTATAAAGCGGATGTCATGAAAGCCGAAGAGGCGACACGAGGGAACACAAACATGGGAGCGTTGCGAGGGGATAGAGAGCAAGGAGCTGTAGCTGAAAACAGGCAGAAGCCTAAAGCCTGAAAATGCCTGTTTGCGCTGACCACCTGTCATCGGTGCTGGAGTCGGGATGGTGAGGGTAGGCTCTACTCCCCCAAAACATCTGAAGCTGTTGCCCCAACGAGCATTTTGGGAAGTAGCATTGCTTGCAGAATGACACCACTTGGAGGAGACCGGCTAAGACCGGATATGGCATTAGGGCAGTACTTATATGAAACTTAACGATGCGGTCAGGTAAGGAAAACTCAGTTTTCATGACGAGAATCGTGCTTTTTTCCAGCGAGTTTCCCGCCCTTCTTTTGTTAATTGGTGCTTTGTGGTTAACAAGTGTTTGGTAGGAATGAAATGTCTGGAACACTTCTTACAGCTTGCAAACTTTTTGATACTTCCATGCATAATTGTATACCGGCAAAATGGGGATAAATATATTTGCATGTATGTCTATGTTACCCCTACGAAAACCCGCGCCGCTTCCGGCATTACAACAATGTCCAGTGCTTTTATTGTGTAATTAACACAAGTGACATTTGCTCTCAGACAGCATACCTCGTCATTCGCTCACGTCATGTAAAATGCTTCGGATGCGTCACAGAGAACATGACCATTCTGAGTGGGTTGATCTGAATATGGTGCCGCTCCCACAGCCTGCCGTACACGGAGGCGACGCTGAGCGAGGTGGCACGCATGGCGTCAGTAACGCCGATGGCACTCGCCCACAACGCGTCCTTCCGCTCGACAACGATAGCCGGTAAGCCCCGGAGGAGCGCTCTTAGGAAGCGTCAAAAGCAAGACTCGCTACGCACAGAGATACACACACGTGCCGCGAGTTCTCTCTCTACGTATATGGTATAATCTCGTGTGATACAAGTAACTGTGGTAATCGAAGTTGGTACTAATTTACTAGCTTGCGAAGTTCTCCAAAGTTTTTAAAATGCTATATATGCGTGCAGGAAGACAGACGCAATACTTTCACGGCTTTGGGTCTTAACCCTCGCCGCGGCCGGTTATTCTGATACGTTCGTTGGTGCAGAGGCCAGTGGGCGGGGCGGATTGGTTGGTATGACGCCTTTGGCGTTTCTAACGAGACAGGCCAACAAGATGGACGGAAGACAGGCGTGTGCGGCGCGACAACATCTCGTGAGTGACACCTTTCTGTACTTGACACATATCGTACCAGGTTGGGCCGGATGTCAAACTGTCACAAAACGACCAGTTATTACGGCTTACTGCCAAAGTGTTTTCAACTATTTTGGATATGTAATTCTGAACATCACTAACGTGTTAAACGATAGTTTACAACTGCAATGACATTCGCCAATATTTATTTGACACGCAAGTTGGGTCAGATCACGACCAGACCTGTCTCCGCTTTACTGGTAGCAAGCTTACTGGACGGCCAGACCGGATCAGACTGAGCTCTGAAGATTCAGTATATGTAGCGCCTTAGTGGTACTAGCCTCTACTTCATCGGCAACCACTTCCCGGAAAATGACTGGCGGCGTGCTGGGAGGGCGTACTGCACAAGGCGACCGCATAAGCCTTGGGCCGGGGCTAAACCTTCTAGCGCAAAAGATGGCGCGGCACTGGGGGTTCGCCTTTATCCACTTTGATTTATTCGGCGTGTCAGTATTATGGTCGCGGCATCGTGTTCTTGGTCGTCTTGACCACTGCTCCGGCTTTTCCGTCAGGCTGTGACAATTGGGGATGACACTTTGCGTTGAAACCTCCAGTTCCGCTGGAAGCTCTGAAATGCCTGTGATGTTTAGTGAGGCCCACCATCCTTGTATCGGACGTGTCGAATGCCAGGTGGCCAGAATGGTGTCTGCGCCGCTTAAATGCACCTTTTTGGTCGTGGTAGTGGGGTCGTACACGGCTGCAGGCTACCGACCGGAATGCCACACTGTAGCCAAGGTAAGCTGTCTGGCCGCATGCTCCGCGGAACCAGCTGATGTGACTTGGGAGGTCCGCATGGGTTCTTCGCGTCTCCGCTAGGTCTTTCAGCGGGGAGACGGTAGGTCAGTCCTGGCACTATTGATATCCTTCGACTGGCATCTCAAGAGATCGACCCATGCCGGCCAGCTCATGACCAGTCTGGCGCGCGCTGCCATTTTTTGCGGACTGTGGTGATCGGCCATTATACAGCAGCGTAAGGACGCTGCATCAAAGGACTCCTCGGGATAACGAGCGGGCGGCAGCAGGCCATTAGGACGTTGTCGACTGTGCGGTCTGTGAGCTTTGGCCAATACTACCGAACGGGCTCTGGTAGGTCTCTTCGTCTGGACGGGAAGCCGTCCAAGACGGCTTGGTGGAGAAGTCGGGCCTCCAAAGCTGAGCTCGCAGCATTTTGACCGCTTTCATGCGGAGATCTTTGGGAGAGGAAGATGAATGCTACACTCTTCGCTGTCCCCTCAGGCCATTACCGTTCGCGCCGGCTGTAGCGGTCGAGGAACGGCAGTCGACGCGCAGGCGAATCAGATCGAAGCCCATTTTGGGCCTCTGCGGTCAGACCACTCCACGCATTAAGGTCCTCTTATGATGTTTTGATGGCATTCTCTTCCGCGGCCCGCTGGCTCGCTGTCAGCTTCGACGCTGTCTGGGACCTCTCGACAGGTGGCACTGCGGCACAGATGACAGGTGGCAGCACCAGTAACACGACGCCTAGGGGACGCAGTTCTCGTCACGGGGCCGACAGGTGGCGCCACGTCTCCGTCGACAGGTGGCGGAACCTCGCCGAGTGTGGGCAGCGCCGCTGTTACAAATGTGGGTGGAACAGTGGTCGGTGTTGGGCCCCGGCTGCTGCAAAGCCATCCGCGAAGGAAAGCTCACCGGTCGCGCGAAGGGGATGACCTGAGTCGGTAACTTCTCCAGGATCAACTTCAGATCCCTGGCGACATTCTTTGAGAGCAGAGGGCCGCGCACCCCGGCTGGCAGGATGTGAACATTCTCCCGTGATAGCCTTGCGATGCGCCAAGCGACATGTCACAAGCAGACAGCCAGCACGAGGACACGGTGGGTGGGTTGGCGAGCTTCGGGTGTGCCTTCGGGTGGCCCGCGGGTTTTTTTCAGAGCAGGCACCTACACAATGTAGGAATTTCACCGAAGTTTCTTGATATCGTAGTCCGAGGTTACACGCGCTAGGGTGGAAGGGAGCTTGTTCCTCTCCTTATGGATTCCCTTATGCTACTTTCGAACGGTACGAGTAGCAACGCAAAGCTCTATAGCTAAAGACAATTAAAATGCTAACTTCTTAGCTAAAAAAAAGATATATCCCGCAAGATCGCTGGCCTCGAGTGGTGTAAGGGCAGGCCATCGTTGTTAGCAAACCTTGTGGTAATTAGTGTAGTTCCTTGCGCTGGTTTTGATTCAAATGCCAAAAAAATATCAACGATTTTTTTGTCATTTGCTCTAGTAGGTCATATGCGGTCACCGATCTTAAACGACCAGAACTGCCTGTTTCTTGAGCAAGTTTTTTGTTTGATTTTAATTGTGTGCGTAGACAGGACCCCCTTCCCTCAATACCGATTTCTAGCTTCACTTTGTTTGACCTTAGTTGACCAGAGCGTCACAACCAACACAATCCATTTCGCATAGAGCCTTACCTACCCTGTGAATCCGGCATCTCTTGTTCTCTCATCTTTTGACATTCCAGTGGGCAAATTGACACCCCACACCCGAGCGCATAGTATTCAACCACCCACTCCCCTGCGCGGCTGAGTCAAACAAGATTCCTGACCTGCATCCCTTTTGCACACATCCTCAACACGATCACTGGCGATTCCGAAGCGGCGGGGGACAAGGGGACTTGATTGCGGAGCTCTGCTTTTTGGTTAACCGGCCTTTAAGTGAAGTAGATCATGCATTTTTAAGCAGGACGGCTAATTTCTTCCTATTTGTGGGACCGCAAAGATGGAGGCCTATGAGAAAGGCGCGGAACTAATATAAATTGTGATCTTTACTTACTGGTCTCAGCGATTCACTTAGGAATATAATAGCTCATCGCAATAAGGTACTAGCAATGTCCGCTGATGCTCATCAGTACTCTAAGGGTAAGGTCTAGAAATTTCCTACAGAAAGCTCCATCAGTTTATGACAGACACCCAGTATTCGAGAAGCTCTCATGAAGCGCGCGGCAGACGTCAATCGTCAGCGTAAGTTGACCTTGACCATTGATGTTGGTAATCATCGGTAAGCATATTGCGCGATACATACCGATTACACGCCGATCTCGATGGGTGCACAGCGCTGAGTTTGAGGCACATATATTTATTTGAAAGTTAACTTTTGGGCTTGTTTAAAATGACGCTGAGCTCCTGTTTTCTCGACATTATGAGTTTGTTGTTATCATGTTGACAATGATGAAATATATCTATGCCAAGAAACACTGGTTAAGCAACGTCGTAAGCCAATATTTCAACAAGTGTTCCCTCGTAGCGTCCCTTAACCAGTACCTCCTGGTAGAAGGAAGGTCAGGTATGGTCAGCGCAAGAATTCCACACAAGTAAAGTACATTGTAATTTCAGTTATGGTCGCACTCCATGACTTCAGTAGGCCAGAAAACATTGTCCGATTTAAGGACAAATTTGCCGCGATAGCATAATGCCAGGTGGGCGAATGCAGTGGCTGCATTGCATCACATCGGATCATATTACTCATGTTGTGCATCGTATTGCATAACACTGAGCACCTTACCTAAAAGCATCTCTCTTTAAACTCGAGCGAAAAGATGGCGCAGAGTAAACAGTGAAACACGTATCCACTAGACCAGTGTCCCGAATGGTGACTGACTGAATAGTGACCAATGACTAGTATGTACTAGACCAGTGTGTGTACGTAGTGAGTCACTAGAGAAGGCAAAGGTGCTGATTCACGTTTTTTAAGGGGCGCCGGCTGGATGGCATCCAGTATTCCTTTAAAGCCCTGCGCGCCTTTCCCCTGAACTCCCTGTGATACCTCAATGGCGTCCTCGCCAGATAAGAGCACTCGCCGTACTGGTTCACGTGTGTGTTTGCTGTAAACGTGCCTATACGCAGTTCGTGTCATCTCATCTCAGGAGCGTTTAGGACAGAAACGCCTTTCCAGGGTACCGAGTGCCTCTCGGCTCCATGGTGCTCTTTGACCTGCACCACGTGCACCACGACCCCGACTACTGGGGTGACCCGGAGGCGTTCCGGCCGGGGCGTTTCCTGACGCCGGCTGGTCAGCTGCGCAGGGACATCGACCGTCTCGTCCCCTTCGGCACCGGTGAGGTCCACGCCCCGTCTGCCTTCCTGCTCGAGGCGCGCCTCGGGCCACAGCCGTCTCGGGTTCCATGAAGCGACATGCATATTTGACATCCGCGCCCGTAACTGACTGTCGTGACTGCCGGGCCCTTGCCAAGGGAAGCGCCCGTGACTGCACTGTCGATGTGAATGCCGGGGCGTTGCCAAGGGCTGCGCCTGTGACTGCACTGTCGTTGTGACTGCTGGGCCGTCGCCGAGGAAAGTGCCTGTGACTGAACTGTCGATGTGAGTGCTGGGCCGTCGCCAAGGGAAGCGCCCGTGACTGCACTGTCGATGTGACTGCTGGGCCGTTGCCAGGGGAAACGCCCGTGACTGCACTGTCGGTGTGACTGCTGGGCCGTTGCCGAGGGGAGCACCCGTGACTGCACTGTCGATGTGACTGCTGGGCCGTTGCCGAGGGAAGCACCCGTGACTGCACTGTCGATGTAACTGCTGGGCCGTTGCCGAGGGAAGCACCCGTGACTGCACTGTCGATGTGACTGCTGGGCCGTTGCCAGGGGAAGCGCCCGTGCCTGCACTGTCGGTGTGACTGCTGGGCCGTTGCCGAGGGAAGCACCCGTGACTGCACTGTCGATGTGACTGCTGGGCCGTTCCTCAGGGAAGCGCCAGTGCATCGGCGAGCCGCTGGCCCGGATGGAGCTGTTCCTCTTCTTCAGCTGCATGCTGCACGAGTTCTGGCTGTCGCCGGCGCCCGGGCCGCGCCCGTCGGCCTCCCCGGCCAGCAGCGCCTCCCTGCTGCTGCCGCGGCCCTTCTCGGCCCGCGTCACGCCGCGGCCCCGCTGCTGGGACGACCCGGCTTAGACCGGCTGGAGTCACAGCTCACCGGACCGGGACTGACCGCGGCCCCGCTGCTGGGACGACCCGGCTTAGAGCGGCTGGGGTCACAGCTCACCGGACCGGGACTGACCGCGGCCCAGCTGCTGGGACGACCCGGCGTAGGGCGGCTTGGGTCACAGCTCACCGGACAGGGACCGGATCCGGGGACTGGATCCGGGCCCGCCCACGCCTGCACTGCGGTTCATCAGACGAAAATGTAGCTTACGTTTTTTCATATTGTTCCATAAGGGTGTGCGCCAAGAGCAACTTAATTTTATTGATGTTTATATGTTAAGTCATTGATGGGCCCGGTAGCTCAATGTCAAAACGTCACTTGTATGAATATTACATTTTTTGGGTGATACTTTCAAACACGAAAAACTAAGTTATTGTCGACGAGTCCATAAGATCGAAGTAAAAACAGCGGGCGTGGTAACTTTTATTCATGAATTTCGCCCCGTTGGCAGTGAAGTGGTGCGCTTGGAGCCGCGTGTGGGACGACGCAGGGGCGGCGGCAGTGACGGCCGAGAGCAGGCTGGCAGTGCTCCTGGAAACCGTGACCTGCTGCTGACACAGTCGGAGGGCCTCCCAGTGCTGAGCAGACTTCCGTCAGGGGTCTGGAACAGTTCATACGGTGCTTTGAAAAGTGCGGATATTCAGAATTCGGGATGATATGCTGGTTGAGCGTCATATGTCTTCTTAGAGGGGCATTTCATCTTTTCGCTTCGAAGGTGTTACTTCGGTCTTGGAATAGCACCATGATGACGTTAAGTGCATCTTTGCGAACGGGTGTATTTTAGTTTATAGGTATGCAGGCATTAGGTTAAGGTCAGAGTTGGTCAGGGCGCGTTGCTCTTTTCGGTGACGACCAAAATAGCAGACTTGAGTGAACGCTCGTGCTAGTTAAAAATCAATATGTCATGCTGTGTTCCTCAGTGTTGTGGGGTGGGTAGCGGGCAGTCGCCAGAAGCAAAACGCATCAGAAAGAATAGTCTATCTACGCTTACGGAAATGATAAAACATGACATATCATCACACGGAAAGTTGACTCTACAGTTGAACTGCGTGTATCCGTTGACATTCTATGGTGTCATTTGTCAGTGTTATACACGTATCCATGTGCTTGCGTTTTGCATCGCTCGCCTCGCCCGAGTAATTCACCAGACCACGTACGCCATTGTCCTGTCACGTCTGGAGACGTAAATTCAAGAACTTTTAACTGCAATGCTATGTTTATCAGAATTACGCGCTATCATCGCGCATTGTGTATTGCAACATACGAGCAACACACGTCCACTGGAAGATGCATGGCTGGGAAGCCAGAGGTGCGGGGTTAGGTTCCCCGTGGTGCACGCCCTTCCTGCCAGGGTGAGAGGCAAGCGACGTCTTGAAGCCTCAGCAACTGAGTGCGTCGCAAAGCCCAACGGCGACGGCGACTCTTGCACTGGCAAGAGGCGCACACTGCCTCGAGCTGTCATCTGGACACGACGACTGCCGAGCTCTGAACGTGCGCCGGCCGGTTTCTCTTCTCCCGTACTCCAGAGGTCGATTGTTCCATGCCGGAAAACCGGCGAAAGCACTGGCCCTGATCTGGAAACACGGCATCGAGATGTTTGAAGAACCTATTTTGTTCGACATTGCAAATCAGGTACAGAATGGTGGCTTGGTCTTAGGTGTGCAGCTACGCACCGGTCGGTCTAAGCCAACTTAACAGAGGTCAGACACTTTTGTTGTGTCAAGTTCTAAATGAGTTAGCAGCCTTCTATAGTTTTACTCAAGCACCTTCACCGTTTGCTGGCTACAAATCATGGACATATTGGAGGGCTACGCAGAAAAAAGCGGCAGGACCTACCATCAAAACACACTAAAAAAATATTCCCCTGCTTGACTCGCCTTCTTCTCAAGAATGGGGAGCCCCCCCCCCCCTCGCTGACAGCTGAATAAGAAACTTTACGCCTGGCTGCGACAGTTCGTTCAGAGTACAGCCCCAAACTACTGCAGGAAAACAGATTCGCAGTTAAACATTTGAAATGCAACAATTGCTTTTAGGCACTTTTGGAAACATGTCCCGACACGTAGTTGTTTCTACACGCCCGGCGCCCGCCGCTTGTTGTCAGCTGCGGCGGCAAAAACAGTAGGTCACCTGGCCGCGGCGGGTGGTGCTGAAGCGGCACAGGGACTTCGCTAAGAGCCTGATGGCCCTTTTCATCCCAGCTCGGAGTGTCTATCGGCTGCCATTGTGGCTACAGGGGGGTCGAGGTCTTGTGGTCGATCCGGAGGCCTTAAGAGGAATGTATCATAGATCGGACGGATCATCGGATCAACACAGGGATCGCTATCAACGCAAAAGACCCACTACCGGCGCAGGAGGTTAAATAATTGACACTAAAAATGTAGTTTGCCAATCGGATACCTGGCTGAAGTGATGCGTATGGCTCCTAGTTCGGTATTTAGACCCCTGACTGTCACAAGGACTTCCACATCTCACTGTGAACCTTCATCGTAAGTTCTTATATACCTGCCTTCATTGTCAGAGAAAGTACACCTCTGTTCAGAAAGGATGCACCTGATGGCCATCTGAAGTCCCTTACCGACATAAGACTCCCTGTCAGGCACTGTGAGCTCCTGACCGACAGAGGGTTTCTTCATTGCTTCAGGGACCCCGACCGATACAAAGTGCAGGTACAGGCCTTGTCCCTGCTTCAAAAATCAGTATTGGTAACCTCCAGCTGGCACAGAGCACTGCATTAGCCCAGGCAGCCTCCAATCGGTGCAAGAGCCCCTCTGACGATTGCTGGTCCCAGATCCCCTCACGGACCTGAAGCCACCTTCTGGTGGCTCCGCTGAGGCCTGAGTCCGGTTCTAAGGGGGGGGGGGGGGAGACACATATCCCCTATGTCACCCCGTCTGCGCCTCTGCTGCTCCCTAATTGCATTCATGTTAAGCGAAGATTCTTAGATTGCTTAAAAGCTGTAGTCATTGTTTTTCAGCGCCAGCTTATGTCGCCATCGATCCGGCCCGGGGACGAGGATCCAAACAGTGATCGTCGCAGCCGCGTGGCCAACTAATAATTCGCAAACCACCTACCAGGTGGCGGGAGAGTAATGATATCCTAATGTGTATACACATGCAGAATATATTACGGTCACCATAGATGCCATACAGTTGAAATTTTTCTCCGTTTATGGAGTTAACCACGGTTGAGTCTGACCTCCATCAGTCACCCTCCATCAGATGAATTCCTTATTCATATGAGCCCCCGAAATATTCGCCGATTTCTCACCGACGTACCACTTTCCTTGATCGAATATCCATTCGATACGTACATCGGATCTGGTCACAACCTTCTTTCGTCACTTACTGCCGTATCCTGAATCCGGGAATTTTCCGTGGAAAACTTTCTAAACGTCTGTCTCTGGATTCATTTGGCCAAAGAAATGTTCATGTATCTACGTATGTGTAGCCTGTCGACACGCGGTGCGTATTTATTCCTCTAGATAAAAATGCTATTCTTGGCAAAAACGTCCCGCACAGCTATCAAATTAGCGAAGTTTTATTATTGCGCAGATTCTTCCCAACGTCAAACACGGGCTGTTTCGAGCCGTGTCAGCTCGCCTTATCTGCCACACATCCAACTGACCTTCACCCAGCGACATTTTCTGTACCGCGCCGCCGCCGCGTGGAACCGGCTGCCGCGGCGGCTGTCCGCGCCTCCTCGCGCCGGGTATTCTTGACTTTTAAATCACTGACTCACTGACTGAAACTGCTTTCACATGTGCGCAAATATGTATTGTGTACTGCACGGCTTTTTTTCTTGTACGACTGGGCACAGAAAGACCACCACGTGAATGCGCCTTGAATGAAATAAATGTAAACATAAAATGTAACTTTGGTTGCCCCTTTGTGAGTCGTAAGCATCCTGTTCTAGATTAGCAGGCTGCTCTACGCATCGGGAGGCTCTTTTCTAGAAAATGAGGTCCTGTTTTAGGTTAGCGATACTCTGCTGGATAGTTAGAAGGCCCTCATTCTGTTCTTTCTTTAACTGTCGACGCTACTTTACTTGGATATGGTACAAAAAACAGCTTGATAAGGGGGCATATACCTTCAGTGCCCCCACCCTTGAATATGACGCAGCGTAGGATGGTTCCCTGTGAGGACGCCCCATGTTGTCCAAGAGGGCCTAGGACTATCTTGTCCCACCCCACCCAACTTAAAACGCGTGTAGATGCTCTCGGTGCTGTTAACATATCCGCAAAACAGAACAGGGCCAGAACAAGTCGGAGAGCCGCAAGATAAACAACGTTCACCAGAATTATGAGTTAAAAGTTCCTATGTGAAGTCAGACCTTCAATGTGCCAGGAGATGCTAGTTAAACGACGTCGTAGTGCTAAATAGCGATTACATTAAGGATACTCTATATTTCGGACTGTCCTCATCCTGCTGAGCTCATATTCCTCCCGAGCGTTACGCAGCATGCAGCCGCGGAGCGCAATACTATAGTGCCCTTCCCTCAGTTGCGCGCCCGCACCCGGTCCCGATTTTTTTGAGAAGTGAGTGGGGAATTTCGTGGCAAAATACATTTGAGGGCGTAATTTGGGAGTAACTGAAATTGTTTACTGTTCAGCCCTCCTTCTCCTAGTTTTGTGAGATTATATAGCCTGTGGAGGTTTATCTTTATGAGTTGTTTTCGAGTAACTAGGTGCGATTTTGTCTCCACTCTTTTCACTGTTTTTTTCCCTCAGTAAACTGTGCTAAGCCAGAGAGAACACCGTAGATGTCAAATTCCAGGCACCTATTTTGAGGGAATGCTGTGATAGAAATCTGACCGGCGCCGCACACTTGAAATGTGGTTGAAATTTGGCTTAGCGCACTTCGCTTACCCCACCAAACATCGTTGCCCTCTGATCAGTCCTCCGTCCCCAACCTTTTTTATGAAACCACACCCATAGTCTGTGTAGGTTTGCTTTTTTGTAGTGATTTGGAGGTAACTGCGTGTTATTTTTCCTTCACTCTTTAGTGTTATTCACCATTGTTGACAGAGGCCGGCTGGAAAGAACGCCTTTTATGTTAAACTCCAAGCGCTTATTTTAGTGGGATCCGGTGACGGTAATCTGACCAGAGAT